ATTCCCAGATCCCTTCCCCTCCTCCACCATCGGGGGGCCTGCTGAATGTTTTTTCGGGGGTCCTGAGGCAGTCCTGGACGCGAGTGTTCGATTGAGGTCTTGTGGACAGGCTCGGCAGAACCATCCCTGGGGCGTCCAGGCGTGTTTGGAGGCAGCCGGAAGTTGTCTTGGGGCGGTGGGCCAGTCCGTTGGGGCCCCTCCGAGAAGCAGACGGTGGCGATCAGCAGAGCTGCGTCGTCCGCATGCGGAGCTCACCCGCAAGTCGACCCAACAGCCTGGCACGACCGTGCTCGAGGGGCGTATACCGAGTGACCCGCTCTAAACATACCCGCTGCTCAACAATCACCGGCGAGTGCGAGAAGAGTGCGGATAGGACGGAGGAGCGAGGAGGAAGAGCGACCCGCTCATGAATGGGAGGCGTATAGATGTTTGAGGTCTGCAGGCGGACGTTGCTTGCAAATCAGCCTGTCATCCTGACACGCCCAGGCGCGAATGGCAAGCTGACTGGCGGGATGATTCATCTCTGCTGTACATGAGAAGTCGGGCGAATGAGGAGGAATCAAGAGCGACCAGCTCCTGGATATGAAATGCAGAGCTGTCCACGAACGGAGCTCACGCACCAATCGCCCCAACAACCTGCCACGCCTGTGCGCGAGTGGCAAGCCGCCTGATCTGCTGAGAAGTACCCGCTTTTGAAATATCAGAAATGCGGACCTTTGACAATACACAATACGTGTAGGAGGGAGAGGGGAGGAGAAAGAGCGACCAAATCCTGAATAACGGCGCGTGCAAAATGCTGTGAGGTCCACTGGCGGACGTCAGCGGCAACTCAGCCTGTTATGCTGACACGCTTAAGCGCGAGTGACAACCGACTGATCCGCTGAATAGTATACGCTGCCAACATCGAAAGAGAGGGCAAGGAGTATGCTGTTCAAGAGCGGCGCAACCGCACCAGAACGAGTGACCTCACCAAAATAAGCTGTTGGCATTGTAGGCACGCTGGCAATAGGCATACGCGGGCAAGAGACGACCAGACTCGACCCAGGGAACCCGACACCATGAGATTAGGGGAAGAGGAGGACGACGAGAGGAAGAAAGCTTGACGCGGGTCCCCTCGGCAACTGGGAAAAGCATCGCGCGGTGTGACGGCACACCATGCGTGGTTGCTTCCGACGAAAAAGCGAAGTCAACTGCGCGTATGTCCGTGTCGCCCAAGTGGTCAGGAGGGGGGCATGCAATCCCAATGTGCCAGAGAAACACGCTGGCGTGCACATGTCCAAACGGCACCCGTGCAGAGTGATGTCGGCTGCGGTGCTGGTGAGGCCAACTCCGCACCTATTGGGTGGAGTTGGCCCACTGCTACCTAAGCGATCCCGCCACGTAATCCTAGAGGAAGTCCGATCAAGACTTCATCAATTCAGAGTGCTGCGCGCTTCAAACATCGAAGCCCGGCGCACGCCGCGCGCCAGAGGGGCGCCCTCCGCCGGCGGCGCCTCTGGCGCGGCTCCTGGCGCGCCTCCAGCGCGCCCGGGCGGGGGCCCGGCGCAAATCTGAGGAGTCCGCGTGGCCCTCCGAAGAGGCATGCGCTTTCCGTTGGTCCTGTTGTTCGAGTAGGGGGTCGACTGCAAAATCGACTGACCCCGAATCTGATGCTGCCCTTCGACAAAAAACATGATCGACCCACGAACCCGGAAAGGAATATAAACATGTAAGGCATTGCAACGTTTCAAAGACACCTGATTGGGCGACGGGCACATTCAATACGGAATGTATCGATCTTGATGTACTGTGCCGAGGGCTGTGCTGTGCTACGCCGTGCTGAACTGCGATGTGCCATGCCGCGATTGTGCTCTATATAGCGTTGTGGATCGAGTCCTCTCTGGCATCCGAGTCCTCACCGAACTGATCTGGATCGTAAGCTCGAGCTGCCTGAGCAGATGATAGCTGCCCCAGAACTAATCGACAGGGGGAACATGCCAGGAGGACGCGCCGCGGAACGTCCCAAGTGACGCGCCAGGCGACGTGCCAGGGGACGTGCCATGGGCACGCGCCGCGGGACTTGCCAAGGGGACGCGCTACGGAACGTGCCAATGGACGTGCACCGCGCGACGTGCCAGGGGGACTCGCCTGCGGGACGTTGTCAGCACATCCTCATGCTAGACATCCGCCAAGGCAACCTGGACACGTGCAAACAAGCGTCTCGCGCGAGACATCCTCAACTAATCCTCATGCTAGACATCCGCCTGGGCGACCTGGACACGTGAAAACAAGCCTCTGGTTCGAGACGTCCTCAACAAATCCTGGCGCTTGACCTCTGCCTGGGCAACCTGGAGGCGTGAAACCAAGCGTCTCGCTCGAGACATCCTCAAGACCTGGGCACGTGAAAACAAGCATTTCACTTGCGAGACCTTCTGAATTCTGGCCCCCAGGAGAGGACAATCTATAACACAAAACAAGCGTTTCGCTGGAGACATCCTCGACACATTCTGAAACACAAGCG